AGAGAGAGAGAGAGAGAGAGAGAGAGAGAGAGAATGAATCTGACTCTTGGAGATGGCTGCTGGGCACGAGGCAGGCCTGGAATTATGGCAGGCCAAACCTCCTTTCCTATTGAAGGCCGCCCACACTCTCTTTTCTACTTTCTCGAATGCCCCCTCCCCTCCTTTTCCAGGACCGTTTACCCAGCAGAAGCAGACGAGCAACGAGAGGGTGCTGGTGTGGTTCTGGCTCTTTCCTTGTCTGCTCGCAGGCGCGGGTTCCGGAACCTTCAAGGTCACCCATCAGCTTCAGGCCCCTGTGTGATCCCCTCTCCAAATAACAGTCACTCAAGGGTCCCATGTCACTGAACTCCATTTCAAATGGCAGCAAGAGGCCCAAAGGAATACTCTTCTGGGCTGTTGTTTATTTCAAACGGGGGTCATTGTGGGTGGGGCCTGTCTCAGTCTCTGGGCACGGAGGCGGCTCAGTACTTTTCAAGGGCACCAGCGTTCAGTTAAAAGAAGTCACTTCACCCAGGTTTTTTTTTTTTTTTTTTAAGGACTTGGCAAATAAACTGAAGTAAATTCGTAAATACATGGCTTTAAGGCTACGGCATGAGAATGCTTGGGGGTTTAGTGGAGACACATTCTTCTGCAGGGCGAGCAAGTACGGCCAGCAAAGGGTCACACCCTTGAGTGACCAACGGCTCTAAGAATGGAAGAGGAGACAGCTCCACAGGACTGGCCTGCTCCTAAGAGCCAGCTAGAGAGGCTCTGGGCAGGACCAAAGCGAAGTCAAAAGCTGTGGACAGGATGATGGGGGGTGGGGGGGCATGTTTGGCATGTAGTCTTTCTGGGGTCAGTGTTACTGTAAGGAGGGAGAGGCAGATCGGAACTGTATACAATCCACTGCTTCCACAGGGCTTTCCTCTCGGAAGCCTTCATTTAATGAGTAGTTGCAATGGAACAGCCTTGGGCCAAGAGCTTTATACGTCACCCAATGTGCAAACTCAATCCTCTCAATAACTCTCAGGGATGTTCCTTATGTCCCTTCATTCCCATAGGAATCTGAGAAGAAGCTTGAAATGATAGAGTTGGGATTCGAACCCAGGTCTGTCTTGTTTCATGTCCTGAACCACACACACCCACGCAACCACACAGAACCTGGTGAGTATATTATGGTCAGTTATTCTATGGCCCAAACATCTGGAGAGGATCCAGTAGGGCACATCTCAAGGATTCTACTTGGCAAGATGAGGAAAACCAGCAGCCCATGAAAACAGGCGTCAGCATTTCAAACAGCTAGTAGAGGCCGCAGCACCAAAGGCCTTGTGGGTAGCAGCAGGACCCAGGTTGGGGAGGGGGGTTCAGTGGCAGGTCACTGTCATCATCAATCACTTCCAAGCCTTTTGTCCGCAGGGGAAGGGTCTGAACTAGGCACCAAGCAGAGCAGGTGAACCAGCAGTTTAAAGGAGTCACTGGGTGGGCGGCGGCGGCGGGAAGGAGCTCTCGGTTTGGGGAAACAACCTCCCCTGGGGAGGGATGTGCTGTTCCTCGGTCCTGTCCCCATGTCTGAGGAGAGCATTGCAGGTCACAAGCCGGGTCATCCCAATGCTGAGTCGCTCTTGACGCTGAGTTCTTCTGCCTCTACCCATCGCTTTTTGGAATGTACCTTCTACCGCAGCATTACTGTTCTAGAAGGTACTAAGAAACACCTTGCTACACTTGATTCAGAGAAACTTAGAGTCCAATGGGAAAGAGTATAGTCAGGAGGGATAGCACATGTGCACACACACGCTTGTGCCCTGTGTACATGTGTTCATGTGTTCACAGAGGCTATGCTACCAATGGCTGACTGGGGGAGAAGCTCATATCACTGTCCTTTGCCAGAAGGAGACACAGTAACACAATGAACTGCAGCAGCTTGCCGAGGCTCCATGGCCAGAGGCTGGTGGGGCCAGGATTCTGCCTCAGACTGCCAGGCTCCCCCAACCCGGGGCACACTACAGTATATAACTTCGGTAGAGGAGATAAAGTGTGTGTGTTGTGTGTGTGTGTATGTGGTGGTGGTGGATTCATGAGTCGAATGAAAACTGAAGTGAACAGGCAGGACCCAGTCACCATGGCGAGGGAAGAGGGCAGAACCAAGCCAGGCTGGAGATGAATGGGGAGAAAGCTTTGGGGAGAGCGGGAAGAGTCGACGATTTGTGAGGGGCCTTTCTGAGGTGGGCCTGGGTCCACACACATCCTGGTACCCGTTGGGGAGAGAGCGGGTGCACATTGTGAGAGGAGATGGTCCTCGGAGAGTCAGGACGAGATTGGGTCTGTTCCTCATGAGGGGGTGGGGTTGGTTGGGCACTGAGCTGGAGCTGGCACCACACAAGGAACAGAGTGCCAAGAGACTTGCACTGCAGGCCTGGTTCTGTTGGAGGCATCTAGGCCAAGGTCACCAAGCCAAGTCATGTCTTGGATTCCAGCGACCTTGCTCTTTAAATAAAGGGATTAGGCCAGATAATCCCCTGGCTATAAAGTTCTGTGGGGAGAGCAGAGGAATGGGGTGGGGGGTAACCAAGGACGGAGTGGTGGTGGTGGTGGTGGTGGTGGTGGTGGTGTGTGTGTGTGTGTGTGTGTGTGTGGCAGAACCCCAAAGGGATGGGAACTGGAGTTAAAATGGAGAACAGGGAGAGAGCTTAAAAAACAAAACAAAACAACAACAAAATCTTTCACTTTGTTTCGCAAGGTGGAAACTGAGGCACAGGAAGGCTAGCTGCTTCCCGAGTCAGGTGGCTAGCTCCTCATTGGTAGGATTAAGCCCATCAAGCAGGCTCCGGCCTTTAGCTTGCTAGACTCACCTGGGTCCGATCCCCTCAGACTAGAGCCGGTGGGGGCAGATTTAAGCCAAGAGCAAGTTTGCAGAGGAGCGAGGACTAGACTGTGTCCTTACCCACCAGACTCCGTTTCCCCAGCACAGGCTGAGGAACGGTGGCCGCCTCAGGTGGGTCGCTCTGTAGCCACAGGTCAGAGCTGCCGCCTCTGCTTCCGGTCTCTGCCCTGCCCAGACCTATCTCTGTGGGGGTCCCCCTTGCACGTTCATCTATAAAATGGTGGGTCAGACTCTGCCTAGGAGCTGAGGCCCTAACACCCTAGAAGCAAGCCATCTGGAGAGGGGGTTGAAGCCTGGGTGGGCGCTGAAGCTTATGCCCAGTGTGGTGGCAGATCCTCCTGGCCCGTGCTTCTCTCTAGGCCCAGAGTCCTGCTCCTTCCACTTCCTGTGACCGGCCTGGAGGAGTGGGTGGTTGGCCTGCAGCTTGGGTTGGTTGGGTGGAGGCAGCCAGGCTGAGTGTGGCCTGAGCTCTGACACTTCTGTGAACCTCACTCGCTGCTCCAAGGGAGGCTGGTAAAAGTTAACTGGCCTCCCCGCCTTTAGCCGGCCAGGGGGTCAGGGAAAGGTCACTGGAACCTGCTGGACTGATAGTCTAGGAATCTGTCTTTACCCCATGTCTTCCATGGTGAGAGCTGGAGTTCATTTTCCTAGGCATCCTTTTTTTTCTAGGGGCCCCTTTTCTGTGGGCCTCTCCTTCCCCAGCCTTTAGACCCACATCTTGGGGAGTGAGTGGGCAGACTCTGGATGGATGACAGGCCTTGGAATTTGGGGGCCTGGCCAGGTGTGACCCCAGTCTCTGACCCCTGGTGGCCTGGAGGGTAAAGAGGTGAGAGGTGGAGGGGGCGTTGGGAGGAGGCCACTGGCTAACATTTACCAGGACCTTTGAAGCTGTAAATGCTTCCCCGGCCCCTGCTGGGATCGATGGGGTCAGAGTTCACAGGCATGGTTGGCCTGGCTCTCCAAGGGGGCTGGAAATCTTGTAGGCAGATGAAGTAGGGACCCATGTGATGGGACATTCCCCAGGGGTGGAAGGCTCCTGGGAAATGCTATTTCTGGTGTTTGCTTGGATCAGGCCCAGCCACTTGGAGGCCTTGGGAGGGGCGACAGAAGTTGTTTTTGTCAAAAGCTCACTTGTCTCTTGGGTAGGTTTTCCAGGTTGTGTTTGGTCACACTAAGCTCAACTACTGAAAGATGTAGGACAGCCTCCTGGGCTGCAGTTTTTTATTTATTATTATTATTATTATTATTATTATTATTATTATTATTATTATTATTATTTTGGTTTTTCAAGACAGGGTTTCTCTGTGTAGCTTTGTGCCTTTCCTGGAACTCACTTTGGAGACCAGGCTGGCCTCGAACTCACAGAGATCCGCCTGCCTCTGCCTCCCGAGTGCTGGGATTAAAGGCGTGCACCACCACCGCCCGGCTTGGGCTGCAGCTTTTAGTTGACCTGTCCTGGACTGCCTGAGGCTTCTGGTCCCACCCATTGTTCTTTCTTGCCTGGTATCCCTCCTGTTCGATTTTTGTTTTGTTTTTTGTTTTTTGTTTTTCGAGACAGGGTTTCTCTGTGTAGCTTTGTGCCTTTCCTGAATCTCGCTCTGTAGACCAGGCTGGCCTCGAACTCACAGAGATCCGCCTGCTTCTGCCTCCCTAGTGCTGGGATTAAAGGCGTGCACCAACACCGCCTGGCTCCCGTTTGATTTTTTTCTGCATACCCGGGCCTTCCCCTTCTCAGCACGAACTCCTATTTACCCTGTTTCAGCACCTCTTGCTGGAAGCCTTCTGGGAATGGAACCTACTGCTGTCCTGCTCTAGCGTATTCATTAAAGTGCTCACCCAGCTAAGATTGATAACGGTGGGGCAGCCCGGTTTTAAGCCACTGCACATAAAGGCAGTCCCGAGTCCTTCCTTCAGAGAGCTTGTATTCTCCGAGACAGTAATAGCTAACATGTATCCAGCTCTGCTTGAGAAGTTTTATATGGACCAACGCATGTAACCTGTAGACCATCTCTTTGATGAGGTAGAAATATCCTCCGCATTACATGTGAGAGACTCTACATGTGATGGTCATCTATTCTAATTGGGCCCTTACCACAGACAGACCCATGAGATAGGTAATATTTTTTCTCGTTTCTACCAATGGTGGAATCAAGATGGAGAGGGGCCAAGACCACAGAGCCAGCCAGTAAGCAGTGGTGCGAAGCCGATGAGCCCCAGCCTGCCCAAGTACAAGTTGCCGCCTTATAGAATAATACTGCTGTGTGCTTCTGCATAGTGTGTTTTTTCTTTTCAATTATTTATCGCATCTTCTCCATTATCCTAGGCGCTTCCCCCAAGGTAGTGAGACCTTGGCTTACTTATTTCTAGTCTTTGAACACCTACCATATTGGGTAACTTAACTGGCATCCAGTAACTGTCTATTGATTGACTGATAGCTGTAGTGGCTGGCGATAACGACACAGAAGCTAATATTTATTTTTCTTTTTAATCTATTTATTTAAAAAATTAAAATTACGTTTATTTGCATATGTGAGAGCACATGCAGGGAGGTCAGAGGACAACTTGTAGGAGCTGGTTCTGTCTTTTACCTTGTGAGTTCCGGGGACTGAACTTAGGTAGTCAGGCTTGGTGACGAGTTACCCACGGAGCTATCTTGCTGGCCCATAAATATCTTGCTGATATTTATGACACATACTCTGTTAGTCTCAAAGCTGGTTATTGCTAACCACAGACTGGTTTTAGTCCTTAACAGCTGTTATAGGAACTAGCCTTTAGCAAGCAGACAGCTAATATGTGATGATAAGATTTGAATTACAGCTTTCTCTGTTTCAAAAAAAAAAATATCTGTGTATTTTTCTCACCACAGGCTTATTTATGGGAAGATGGCCTCCGTGGAAAGTCCCAGGGTGAAGCCACTTGGGCGCTTGATATTTCATCCCTACCTTGCTTGGCGGGGGTGGGGGTGGGGGTGGGGTGGGGTGGGGTGGGACTGGGTGGCCCTCTGTGGACTGAAAGAAAGGCATCTGGGGGAAACTGAGGCTTTGGCTGCAAGCTTACACCCACCTTCTCTGATGTCTGAAGTGGTTAAAGGGCAGCTGATCCCATTCCAGATGTTTAGTGAGCTTTTTGTCATTGCTGCTGAATTGGTCACATTCTGCTCCAGGGGAACAGCTGGATTCAGAAGGAACATTTGCCAATGGCATTTGCCACCAAGGAGGATGATGGCAGAGTAGGTGCCATTCTTAAGGCCTGGGGCAGAGACAGAGGGTTCCTATTCTGGGTCTATTTAGTTCCTTTGTTCTGACATCTGTTTTTCCTTCCTATTTCTTTCTTTCAGTCAGGAAGGAAGAAGAGGGTAGAGTCTCCTGATTCATCTCTCAATGGGTCCAGTAGACTAGACAGCTGGGTACATGTGAGGGAATGGGGTGCAAGAGGTCTGATAAAAACACAGACACCAATGTCTTGGACCTCCAGGTCCCCACTCTGTCCAGCAGAGCTTCCAGGGCCCTACCTCTCCCATTGGACAGCATGCCAAGTTCTCAACCCCTTTGGCTAATCTCCTATTTTGCTTCACCAAGAGTCAACATACAGGCAGACTGCACCCGAATGGACTAAGCCTCCTGAAGTCACCGGCAGGTAACTTGATAGATGGTTGAGACAGTGCCCGTGGTGGGAATTAAGCCGTGCCTGAGCCGCAGAGACAGGGGGAAATAACCTTGAGTGACTGTGGTGATCAGGAGACCTTGTTCCCCATGAGGCTATCACCTGCTCTGGATCTGCCGTGCAGACTGAAGGCTGGGTCTAGTGTCTGCAGGGTTGAGGGTGACATTTCTCTCCCAGCCTCCTGCTCCAGAGGCAAGAGCCATGTCTCAGGGGCAAGGCCTGAGGCAGAATGATAGAGCTTCTGATCCTGCTCTGGTTAACAGGGTGGCCAACAGGGCAAAGAACTATTGAGAAGGGTGTGGCCTGGCCCCAGAGTCTCATCTCCTGAAGGAACAAGGGTCATGGTTGAGAGTGACATTATCAGTCAGAAGTTTATGGGCCACATGCTGACCCTGGCCAGTTCCAGAAGACAATGCTGTGCTGTAACAGTGGCCAGTTTCGAAGGAGAGACTTGGAGGTCTTTTGGTTTGATGAGCATTGTGAGCGCTCACTTCAGATAAGCAGAACAAACGAGCCACAGCCCAAGTGGGAACTGGTTCTGCCCCTTTTCTTTGCTTTTCTAAGTCATCAAAGCCAAGTTCCTAAAGCCTGAATGTCTCGGTACTTTCTGATGGTTTCATTGTTTTGTTTATTGTGCTTATGACAAGTGCTAACAGACCGCTTTCAAAGTGTGTTGATGTTTCAGTTGTTTTTGAATGGCCCTTCTGTTTTGCCGCATCTGGGCAGCATTAGAGTCTGGCTCCAGGGAACAACTGGGTTCCTATAAAAGTATACCAGGTCCCCTTATGTGGAAAAACTGGCCAGGACAAGATCAGACACCCATCTGGGCAGGAACATACAGCACAAATGTGAACATCATTCAGCAGCCGCAGAAGCCAGGTCAGGCTGGGAGGCGGCCAGTGAGCCCTGCCAAGTGGACTGTGGGTGTTCTCTTTCTGTGTACGGACACATTGTGATCTTCCTGAGAGAGGACACCAGCAAGCAGAGTGCCTGGCACTAGGCAGTGCCACCAAATGTTTATTGTCCCTCTGTCTTCTCAGCTCAGGTTGCTTGTCAATCACCAGCCTAATGTCTACATAAGAGGTTCCTGAGGACTGGCCAAGGAACCAGAGCTGGAGGGCACAGGAGTCTCGAGTTCAGTGGGTTTACTAGGATAGACGGGCAGATCCTACCTGTTCGATTTCTGAGCTCTCGTGAGGGATCTTTTGCTATATTGTGCAGAGGGCTGAGGCGGGGTAAGGATAGGGTGAGCATGCTTCCTCCAGACCCCTTCTTGGGGCTTTAAGGTTGATTCTTGGTGTTTCTGTTCTGGGTCCTGTCTGCCTTCCTTCACTGTCCTTGCTCTCTAGGGTGTTAGAACACTTGGCTAAGCAGGCCAGGCTCCAACCAGCTTCCTCCAGTGGAAGAGAGTCTTTGGGTGCGGGTGAGGCTTCCGGGAAGCCATGGTTCGAAGGCTGTCTCCATCTCCTTCCTTTCAAGCTGCCCGAGCTTCCCTTTAGTTCATAGACCTCCCCAGCTCATAAACTGCCCTCTCCCGGGTTTCCAGAGTTGCAGGGCCCTGTCCTAACTGACCTCTCGTCAACTCAGGAGCTCATTTTGAAGAGGTCCCCCACTCTGGTGTATCATCATTCCCCCCCCTACCCTGCCCTGTCCCCACTCACACTCATATGAGGAGTCAGAAGGGCTGAGACTGACAGGTGCAAAGTGAGCTTGGATGCTATGGTTAGACAAGTAGGTCATCCTGATGAGGGGAGACATTAGTGGTTCTAAAACGGGCCCACGGAGGCTCTTACATCTGCAGTTGGTATATTTGTGTCCATAAACACATTGGGGTGGGGTGGGGACTACCCTATCTGATTGGTGGCAATCGCTGGTCTATATTCATGAGGCCTCGAGGTTCTCAACTCTTCCTTAATCCTTTATGGGGACACTCCCTAGCTTTTGCTTCTAAACATCAACTATTGTATCAGTCAGCTTTCTGTTACCAGAACAAATATCCAGACAGTCAACGTAGAGAGAGGAAAGGTTGACTTGATGCGTAATACCCTTTGAAGGTTTCAGTCTGTGGCCAGGTGCACATGAACTGAAAGCCACTGAGAAGAGACAACAGATCCCGTCACGTCTTGGCCTCCCCCAATTCCACCATGACAAGGATTTTGTGGGTCCCTGTTCCTACAAGGGAACAAAGGAAACTTAGGTCTGGGGCCTGACAGACTTAGATGGTGGACCTCAGAGAAGCCGAACACTATGTCCACAAAGCAGGCATGTCTACCAGGAGGGCATTTCTTGATTCTCTGGGTGGGCTGGGTGGAGAACTGTGGTCTTCGGTTTGACGTAGTGTGTTTATATATTTGTGAACACTTGTCACTTGGAAAAATTTCCAACTTTATGTAGCAGTTTCTTTCTCTCCAGGGTCTCTCCTTGTGTGAAACTTTAATTTTATAGCGTTGGCTGTTAATGCATCATGGGTATGGCCATCAATAAATATTTATTGAGCTTTCACTGGGCACAGCATGTTGAAATGGAAACTATATATTTGACTCAAAAGGAGTTGATGGCAGGATGAGAGCCGGTTTGAGAAAGGGTGGGAGAAATCTCTGGGAAGCCTTTCCCGATCCTGAGATTTTTGTGACTTTGTAACTAAATCTGTCAAGGTCCACGTGACACACATAGGGTTGCCAACACAGGAGAATGGGGCTTCAAGAGACGCCTAGGCTGTGACAAAGGCCATTTAGAGCCTGCTACAGCGCAGCCAGCAGTTGGATCACACGTCATGTAGGGACCCAGAGCTTCATAGGGTTGAAGGATCCCTTTGACCGTTCCCATGACGCTCAGTGGAAGGAACACTGACTGCCGATGGAAGGATGATTGCCTTTGATTACGGAATTTGAAAGGAGCATAGAGTTTGGGAACATTTGGAGTCCGTTGATACTTTCGAGCCTTCTCAGTGGCAGCCTGGCAGAGGGCCTCCATGGTGGGAACGCCCCCCGCCCAGTGGTGTGGATTGGGGGGAAGGCTGCATGGGAGGGGGCCTGCATGTTTCTGAAGGAGCTCTAGTGAGTTAATCAGATCAGTAACAGCCTGCCGGCCTCCTCCTCCTCCTCGGCAGTGACTCAGGCCTCCTGAGGGGTTTTCTTCATCATTATGGAGATGAACATGGCTCCAAGGAATCCTCTTGAGCCCGGGGTTTGTGTTAATTGCCTCCATATCTATGGGAAGATGGGCAGGCCATGGATGGGGCTTCTGGAGCAGGATTTGGGTCCTCTTTGGAAAGAGGCCTTGGCTAGCAAGAGTCAGAGAAAGACTGGTCTGGACCTGAAGAGGTCAGGATGCTCAGCTCGCAGGGGTCCAGCAGTCAAGCTGGTATTGTTAACCAACATTCTTTTTGTCCCAGAAAGAAAGTGAAACAGAAAGCCGGCGAGGTCAAGGGCCCTTGGCAACGCCATGGGAACAGATCCACAGCAGGCAGGGGCAGGGGCTGATGGGGCAGAGCTGAACTGTCTTCTTTAGGGAAAGTGATGCTCAGTGTATCCTGACCTAGTTTCCCCTCTGAGGTGAGGCTGGAAAACAGTATGCGAAAAGAGATGTGCCTCGTGCCTGGGGCCACAACTTGGTGTCTGATAAATATTTGTGTCGTTGTACAGAGGGTGTCTGCTGGTTAAAGGTGTAGGAACAGGGCACTGGCTGCCTCCAGGTCACAGTGGTGGTGAAGAGGAGAACCATGAAGAGTTTCCTGGCTCAACACCCTTTCTAGGCCTCTCCACAACAATTCTTTGGTCAGGTGACTGAGACGGGAGCTCTTCAGATGCTAGTACTGGCTGTAGGGGGTGCTTTATTGGTGGGTGGTAGAGGTGACTCAACTTCCTAGTGCCCTGGGACAGCTGCCACTTGGTGAGTGGCACAGCCCTGGGAGCAGGCTCTGAGGCTAGTCAGATCTGCTGCCACTTGTCCCACAATCTGGGTGGGTGTGGTTGTCTCCAGGTGGAGTGGAAGCCATATGGGCCAGGCAGGGTGGTGTGCCCCTGGCGCCCTGGGATTTCTGTGTGGCTTTCCTTCCAGCCTCTGTTGGTGCCTGGTCCCCCCCCATAAAGCCATTACGTACTGGGAGAATTAATCATGCCGTTGGGCAAGCACCATGGCACTTTCATGGCAGCTTTGAAGCTAATCTGTCACTAATGCCTGCTGGATTATCATGATTTCTTGCAGTTGTGATTCATTAACTCAAAGCCTACTAGTAATTTTATCAAACATCCTCCATCACCGTTTGCCCCGACACGCCTGCCCACCCCCACCCTCTCCTCCATTGTGCTGTGGCAATGTCACAACCAGCAACCTGTGTGGTCTCCAAGAAAGGAAGCCCCAGGGAGCTGGGCATGTCCCCGAGCCAGCTAGACCTACCTAGCGCGAGTCCTCTGCTCAAGCCCT